ATAATTTATAAGCATTGAATATCTAAGACACATATTAAAAATTCTTGTTAAATTGGTTGTTTTTGTTCACTCCATTATAACGATCACGACAAAGAATGCTCAGTCCCTTGGGTCTTGTTATAAAGAGTATAAACTGTATATATAATATTATAGATTATTATAAAATATTCATATTAATAATTATTTCATATTTTTGGAAGGGGTTTAATATCACCTTTAAAGTAAATAAGTATTTAATATAGTAAATTTAATCATTTTCTAAACTAAAAGAAGATATTAGTACCTACGTAATTACTTTTTTTCATAAAGAGTTCATGCAGGCCGTCTTCTTTAAATAATCATCTCACAACAAACGAGCATAGCACGTGCCGTGTCCTTGTGTGAGTGTTACACATCTATACAACATTATACTTATACGAACACAACACAAACACGTCCGCTTCCTATTGGTCAAAACGCATGCATTGAGCATTCGAGTCGAGAGCCGTGCCAAGCAATTATCGCCTTAGAGGTGAGCTTGCGGAACTTGGGCTGATAGTACATATACTTACATATTTTTAAAAATCTCAATTTTGTCCGGTCTTCGTTCCATTAAAGTTAATTTTGTTCGATAGCAGCTACTGACTTGCAATAAAATTCATTTCCCAACTAACTTTTTTTTTGTAAAAAATGTTACACTTACCTGATTATACATATACATAATGTATAAGGTAGGTTTTTCAGTAAAGATTCAGATGCAGTATAAACTTTACCCTGGCCACCAATGTACCTACATATTATGTAGCTAAGTACACATACGTTATAATGTGCAACAAGTAAATACCTATATGCATAAAATACAGATGCATTTGTACCATTGCATTGTGCCGGAAGCAATCCATCAACCTGAGGTGTGGCCTACATTAAGTACATGCAAAACTGAATTTATCTAACACCATAAAGATTTATGTATATGTATTATACTGTTAGAGAATGTCTTAATGCTGAGTATATGTATTATACTGTGAGAGAATGTCTTAATCTGACTATTGAAAAATCTGCCCTTAATGGGCAGATTTTTCAATAGTTAGTTTTAATAGTTTTAGTAGTATTTTTTAATAGTTATCAGATAAATGTTATCGGATGAATAAAATTGTTGCTGTCACTGTCTTATACAAACATTGTGATGCGACAGCATCATAATTATTCCTCAGATAACTTTTATCTAACCACTGAAAAATCAGCCCTAAGTGTGAAGAACAAATAAATAATTAAATATCTAAGCAATTGGCGCCGCCCATGAACACCCGCAATTGGGGATAGTGGTTGCGGCTATAAGGATCGGGAAGAGATAGGGGAAGGGGCGGGATTGGGCCTCCGGTAACCTCACCCACACGGCGAAACACAACGCTGAAGAATAATAACAAACATAAATCCATACATTCCCATAAACTTTCACATTTTTAATATTAGTAAGATTAAAAAAAAACTAACACCCGGTTTCTGAAAGGTTTGTCAACGCTAAAATTACCTACAACATTGATCGGCCTTTCAGAAACCGGGGATTAGACTTACACCCAGTTTCCGAAAGGCCGATCAATGTTAAAATTAATTTAATCTTTGTCAAGTCATCTGATTGGTTGACTGAATTATCAACAACCAACCAGATGTCTTGACAAGCGATTTACACCTAGTTAGTTGATTTTAACATTGATCGGGCTTTCGGAAACCGGGCAATTATTTCTTTTAAAGTAATTTATCAACAACCTGTAAAAAAAAATTAAAGGAAAATATTGTTTCAGTACTCCCTTTGTTCTAATAGGTACGGTATATACCTTGAAACAAGGTAGTACATTACAGAAATTATGCTCGGTTTTCTGTCATAACTATTTTATTATTCTCATGATTGACTGGCCATATAATTTTTACAACTTTACTACGTAAATATTTATTTTATTGTTTCTGTTTTTACCTGGTTTATCACTTTCGCTACATAGTATAACACAAAGTCGCTTTCTCTGTCCCTATATCCCTTATTCCCTATGCACCATTACTATGCACGCTTAAATCTTTAAAACTACGCAACGGATTTCGAATCGGTTTTAGATTGAAGAGGAAGGTTTATATGTATAATTACACACATTAAATTGTGGAGAAATTTAGTATCAGCATTGCAACCGTGCGAAGCCGGAACGCGTCGCTAGTATGATTACATGAAATGAAATATAAATTTATTATGTAGGTATGTATAATAAAATGGACAAGAAAAAAATATACATTATAAAAAAAGTAACAACAAAAAACTTTCAAAACTTAGTGAGAGAAATAAAGGTAATAAGCGAAATTATAGGTAATACTAAAACAGGCTAATTCAAGATATAATGATGTCCGAAGACTAGCGATGAAGAAAGTTGCAGTGGACTATGACCAACCAGGGACGCATACCTACTTTTCCAGCACGCTTGACAATCTGCGTTTGGTCAATGGAGATAGGTACACGCACAAAACAAGACGTATTTCATCAACTTCATTTTTGAGAACGATACATCTTAAAAATAAATACATATTACCAAAATTCAACAATGTGTACGGGATGAGGGTTGATGACTACTTGTTACCTTACTTTTTAAATAAACTCCCAGAAGAATTACAAACCTTGTACGTGAATGGTTCGAAAAGTTACACGTTTAAATCAAAGCGTTTCCTGACACAACATCATCTGTAAATTGATTTGAATTGTACATATTTAACGGCTCGCCTGCACACAGATAAACCCAGAGAGGTTTTCGTTGTGGGGCCAGACTTAATGTAAGAATAATGTAAGCATTTTAGAAATAAATAAATAAATAATAAAAAAAAATACTTATTTAGATAGGAAATACAATTACCTATACCAATTACTAAAAAAAAGAGAAGAGATCAAACCTCATTATTAAATTTTTTATCCTTTATGGTTCCAAACCTATTCGTGTGTTTCAATTTTTTATCCAAAACTTCTGTGTCATAACCCCTGAAAGAATTATGTTGAAAATTGTTAGTGAGATAAATTATAAGTCAATAATTTGAATTTATAATATCACATATTCCCAAAATGTGATATTGATGTTTTTTACCTAGGTTTATCAAATATTTAAGCACCCTAATATTATCGATATGTCACACCTATATGTTTTAACACATAACGAATAGTTTTATATGTAGTTATATTTCTGGATGAAAATAGAAGCATTTCCGTTCCAGTTTCCTTGAATTTTTATATCACGATAAATATCTGGCTGGACAAATTTGCTAAAAACGAATGTCACAAATTCAAATTAACACTCAACATTATTTATTTTTTGATTTTTTGATTTATTTTTTAATATATCGGTGCAACAACAATCAATTGCACCGATATATTAAAAAATAAATCCTCTTATCATAGTAGAATATCTTCTAACACGATCCAGCCGTCTCTAAATTAATGAGTACTTAATTAATAACCTTACAGATTCAGGAAGTATTCAGGTCCTGCGGTCGCTTACCTTAACCTTAGACTAAGTTGTACAACTGAAGGAAAACATTGTATATGTAGGAAAAAGTAATTAAATCGGCAAGAAATTGTCTATTCCTACTCATATATTATAATTGTTACACTGTCATCCCAACTTCCTAACTAGTACCACAAAAAGAAAATGATTAAGTCTGTTTGTCACGCTTTTACTCCTAAACACCTTAACTAATTTTAATAAAATTTTGTCACAGATGTAGATAAGCTAAAATATTTTACCTACATAGGGTAATTTACGTGCGATCTGTGTTTATGAACTAGCAACAAATACAATATCGATAAAATTATCGTTACATGTCTTATCTCTACGACCAATTAAAATACATATAAATTATTTTAATGTATCGATAGTGCGCGTCTCCCTAAAGGAAATTTACTAGAAGCTGTGAATGTGCTGTTATAATTTAAAACGATAATATCTCTGAGTGTTTCCTTTCCACTTATGTGGGGTATATACTAATATAAAATAGTTATAATCAAGAATTTTTTAATGCAAAACAATCAATTCCCGAACAATATTAAAGTTAAAATCAGTCGTGTTACAGGATTGTCGAATTTAAAAAAAAACCGGGAAAGCGGTATCCCGCCAAAAACTAAGTCTAACTTTTTAACAGGGAGTGATGTTATCTATTCAATTTCGTTTTAAAAATTGATTACCTATATAGTTTTTTTGTGTGTGTAAACAATACGCAATGAGAAATCTAGATAATTATGTGTGGTCGTAGAATATTTTATACCCTATTGTGCCATATGATTTTAACTTCTATATCCTTTGTAAAATTATATATTTTAGGAACGATATTCCCTAGCATCATAGGAATTTTATTTTAAATCATTACTAACCTTATTTCAATTTTAGTAAATAATGCATACATAATATAAATACAATATTCAATTACTTATTATTAAACGTATTGTTATTGTACAGCTATTACAAACAATATTTCCCTAATATTAATTTCAAATTACACCTTATAAAATAAAAATGGGTCACAATAATTTTATAACGTATTTAATTTAACGTTTACTTGCATTTGAGTATATTTCTAGAATGTAATTTAATTTATGTGATTAAAACCACAGTTCCACACCTAATATTATTTTAAGGGGCCTAATTAGAACCTGTAGGTTACCTATCTAAAGTGTAACGTGCTAGATTTAGTATTTCAGTTCAACTACAAAAAATAACTTCCAAACTAGGTACAGGTCACTGAAACTAGCCCTTTCTAAAGAATTCCTTTCGTCACGCAATTCAAAAAAAACCTTTAAGCATTTTCCATGTTAATGTAAACTTTGTAACATAACAGGCATATTGTTTTATGTGAAATACCGACAATGGTTTTGTGAAGGAAAATGTAAACAAAAACTTCGGGCGAAACCGGCGGCGAAACCACGCATAGTTGTAAAACGCATGCGTCAGAATCGTACCTATAACATATTCGCATATTTCCTGTAAATGCAGCTTTGTGCGACGAGACACACCGTCGAGTCGACGTGACTCCCGCACAGCCGTCAGTGCCGTACAGACATTCAGAAAAATAGGCCGTTGGCAAAGTGACACGTGCGTGAAAAAAAAAATCGAAAGTAATATCTATTAGTTCGATTTTTGAAAAAAGCGCGCGTTAATTTCGGCGGTTTATTTTCAATTTCGAATATTGTGCCCGCAAGAGACGCTGCTTTCGTATTTTTTCCACGATATTTAGGTAAGTCGAATTTATAAAGCTCGTAAATATTTTATTAATAAAAACCAATGTTAAAATTGTTTTTCTATGGAAACACGTATTTTAAATAATAAAAGCGAAATGTAACATACCAATGCACTGAAAGTCAGCACTGAACACTCGCAAATAGCATTTAAAATGGAAAGTACCTTTGTTTTCACTTTCTTAATCAGTTAGCAAACATAGACAATTTATGAATCACAAACAATTATTGTTTTCTCAATGAACGTACCTTTTTAAATACTTTGTGATTCTTCAATGTTATTTAATTGTTAAATGTTAAATAATAAACTTATCGTGAATTATGATACTTGTGTTGCGTGGAATGTTATTAATCTAATCGGTCAATAGGGATAGTGTTTTATGAACAGTATGAAAAACCAATACGATGTACCTACTTACATATATTAAAATTGTAATGTATATACAACTGTACTTTTATATTTCCGTTCTTTGGTTCTTAACAGTACTTATCCAGTTGTCTGATACAAATTATTCATATCTTAATCTTAACCCTCACATCCTGCTTTTTAAAAATGTACACCTAAAACTACAAATCAATCCCACAAAACACAATTTCCAAGACTTTAAATAGTCATATAGCTAATATTGTGTTAGTATTACTTATATATTTGAACACACTAACAGCATAGAAAGCTGATGCATGCGTTTAAAGGGTATTGGAGACTTTGTCCAGTCTGTTTTTAATAGTATTAATTGTGGGCGGATCATCACATTTTCTGGGACTTTATTCAATTGAGAAGGTAAATAGGATTTATATATGTACGTGTAACGTAATCCTTATGCTGTTTGTTGGTTTGATAACATACCTAATTATTAAATTATTTTATGATCATAAATTGTACGAAGCGATTATTGATTTAGCATTCGATGAAATATAATTGATACCTAGTGTTTTCTAGCGCATTCGTTATGTACTGTGGTGTTATTGTATTGTTGAATGTTAAACTAAAAGTAGGTACGTCGGTTGACCTATGGACTGGTTGCTATAGATCTTTGCTCGATGACCTCAGCGATGATTTGAATCGAACTGTTTGTGCAGTTACTAAGCCATATCGGCTCAAGAGAAAAGAAATATATGTAAATTTTTATTACCTGTCCTATTGCCCGAAATTATTTAATTGTTATAACGATAAATAATGGCTCAGCGCGATTATGACTAAGCTGAAATATAGCCGATAAGAAACTGTTGTTGATAACTTGATTAGCTCACAGGTAGATATTAAAGTTCTTTGTCTTACTATTAATCTAAAACGGTCCAAAGATTTGTTTGTAGGAAAATTTCGAGTAATTGCATCGTTGTAAGTTGAAGTAACAGAATTAATATTATTTATTTATCACTTGTAATCAAATATACCAAATAGTATTTGATTCTTCACTCACTCTTTCTCTAATTCTTACTATTATACTCTTTCTATTATTCTCTTTACTCTTCGTCAAAATCAAGGGTGAAGCAGCAAAATATAACAGTGAGTTCAAACAACAGTCGAGCAATATATTATAAAGCTAAGTGCAAAATTGTTAAATATAATAAACTTATTAATCCAACACATGCAGATTGATCACCATATCTAAAACAATTTCACGCTGACGACGGTTAAAATGAGTTGTAGTCCGTTCTTTGACAAAAAAGTCTGGAGAAACAGCAGATAAAATATGAAAATAATAGAAGTGATTTCAGCAACCTGCTAAGGTCACAACCTGCAAATACAGCTAAAGAATAAAAAATGACATACTCAAAAAATGTTCATAAAAATCTTCATTGTACCACAAAATACATATACAACGAAAGAACAAACAATAAAAAAACGACAAACACTCGAATATTAGAATCGGAGATGACACCTTCTTGTAGAAATCTACTAACATAATCAGATAAACGAGATTACTTCTTGTTAACTTTAAAAAGATGTTGCTAAGAATTGACAAAAGTTAAATAAAACCTGATCAAACCACTCGACGTGGCACGAGGATTAAATACATGGTACATTTATCTCAATGGCTTGCTGATAAGGAATTTACGAGTTCTTTAGATACCAAATACCTTTATGTAATCTTCAACTGTTTTGATATGTTTGACAGCCTGTTGTGGAGTAGGTAGATTGAAAATTTCATGAGATGAGCCTTATTTTTTTCGGCGAACTGCGTACCGGTTACCTGATTGCTTACCATTGCTGCAACAACGGAGGTTATTGCAGTTATGTACTTAGATTCTGCACTGCTGTACATTAAAACCGTCAAGCATCCACTCTACAAATTAACCAGCCTCACACAATGATTTCTAGATCGGAAGTTACCTGAGTGCGTATATTAAGTATATTGGTGATCTTGTAAAGCATATGTGTATTTTCTTTACTCAAATCTACAATCTGGAACGAGCACCTAGCTTCACTAACGGACAGGCTGACGGATTATTATTCTATTTTGACTTTTAAAATTACCTGTATACCTACTGTATGGTTTTGTTGAAATAAATGTTTTTTTTTTGCTGAATGCAACTTCAATTTTTTGTACGTTAACACATCGATGCCTGATTGGTTAGTTGAACTGAACTGAACCAGCTCCTCCTTTTCCAACTAATGTTATTAATTTTCATCTGTTGAATGTTTCACTGTAGCTCTCAAAGCCCTTTTATTATAGGAAGAAGGAATGATGAAGGAATCAATTAAATTACTTAACGATAATGTAAATAGCTACAAAAAAAACTCTATGGCTCGATGTCAAAAAGACAGATCAGAATTTTTTCTCTCGCAAACATTTTTATTAAATTATAATATAAATACGGCTGACAAACAATATAAATACAAACGGAATATGGAAATCAAAATAATAATAACAAAAACATGTGGAAAACAGAACAATAAATAGTTAATATGAAAAAGAGAAAAAAGGACGTCTGTTGAGACCATGTTGACAAGAGCCGCAGCACGCCGTGCACGCCCACCACCTCCGGCCTCGTCGCTTAGCTCCGCCTCGCCGCCGCCAGGATCCAGCCTCACCGTGAGTGAAGAGACACCGGCCGTGGCAGCTGCGTCGAGCTCCAGCGACGAGTACTACTCACCGCCGACGACACCACCACCTACGCGTCGCCGGGGAGGACGCCGGCCGCCCGCAGGTTTAGGACCTCGAGGCCCATCGGCTTCTGATAGGGTCCCAGCCGCCGGCGGAAGTGTGCAGCGCATGCGATGGACACAAGCAATAAATGAAAACGTCATGCGCGCATACTATGGGGCTACAGAGGGAGGAAACAACCTGACCGCGTACCGTGTTCGGATGCTCTCTCTGTTTCAGGTGCTTGAGCCAGCCATCAACGTCTCAGCTCAACGACTGTCGGATCAGGTACGGGTTATCCAGCGTAATCGTATGTTGGACAATACTGTACTTGATCGCCTCCGCACGGAAATGGGTAGCTGTGCCGGTGCCTCCTCGTCGCGGACTGTGGCACCAGCGATGATGCCACCGTCCAACCGCGGTATTGTTAGTACCGCCGCTGATGAGGAAAGTACTGACACGGTTACACACGTAAGTACCCAGTGCAATGATGAATTGAGGAGTGCTTTGGAGTGTGCGATTCGGGAATATCGCTACATGTCACCCGAAATAAGACCACGTTTACCTCGTTTGCCCATGCATAACAAAAATAGAGTGCTAGTGGCTGCTCTGGATTCGCATTTGTCTAATCATTTTGATGACTGCGAAGACCTCAGTGATACACATTCGATGATGTATTGCGCGGCCGTAGCGGCATGTCGTGTGGCTCACGTCAAATTCCCAACCAGTGACGTAGCCACACGACTAAAACCAGCTGTACCGGCCTGGCAACGCAGGATCGAGCGTCGTATTGCTGGGGCCAGAGCACTCATTGGCAAACTAATTTGCTTCAGGGAGGGCAATACTCGCCCTAGAGTGATGCGCTTTGTGAGACGGGCATTCTCGGGGACAGACATTAGCCCCCAAGATTATATGTCCAGGGTCACAGAGCGCATCGACTTCCTGAAGCAGAAGGTGTATGCATGGGCAAACCGTATTCGAAGGTACAAGAGACGGGTTCAACGATACACCCAGAATCGCACATTCCGGAGTAATGAAAGGTGGGTGTATAGAGCTTGGGAGCGACCGGACCAAGGTGTGACTGACACGCGCCTCCCGGATGATGACGCCATGTGTTCATTCTGGCGCAGCATCTGGTCGGTGCCTGTCAGTCACACTGAGGGTGACTGGATTCGGGAGGTCAAACGCGCGTGTGATCCAATACCACAAATGGGGGCAATTAACATCAGCCCCCAAGATGTTGCTCGTGCAGTCCGTCCATTGCCTAACTGGAAATCTCCAGGACCGGATGGACTGCACAATTTCTGGATTAAGTGGTTTACAAGATCGCACGCAAGTTTAGCATCTCAATTCCAGGCTGCCCTAGAGTCAGGGTCGCTGCCCCAGTTTCTAACAACAGGAATTACCCACCTGCTCCATAAATCAGGAAGTACTACGGAACCTAAAAATTATAGACCGATCACGTGTCTGCCGACGGTCTATAAAGTTCTTACATCCATACTGAGAAGTAAAATAAATAGCCATATTGACAAAAATAACATTATGTCAACTGCTCAGAATGGATGTAAGAGCGGGTCCCGCGGTACTAAGGAGCTACTCCTCATTGATATGACCATTAGCCAACAGGTTCGACGTTCCCGAAAGGATCTGTCGACATGTTGGATAGATTATAAGAAGGCCTATGACTCTGTCCCTCATACATGGCTCATGAGGGTGCTGGAATTGTATAAAATTGATACAAAACTACGCACCTTCCTGATGTCCTGTATGAGGCAATGGAGTACGGTCCTTCGCTATCCGGGATGTCGACATATCCAAACGAATAGCGAAACTGTAAGGATCGAGCGGGGTATATTCCAGGGTGATAGTTTGAGTCCGCTTTGGTTCTGCCTAGCCTTGAATCCTCTTAG